AGCATAATGTCCTCCAGGGTCACCCATTTTGAATAATATTGCATGAGTTCCTTGTTTTTCCATGCAGTGTAGTATTCCATTGTGTGAATATACCACAGTTTCTCTATCCATTCGTTTGTTGATGGGCACTTAGGTTCTTTCCAACTCCTTGCTATTGTGAACAAAGTCGCAATAAGCATGGGTGTGCATATATCTGCTTGGATGTCAGTTATGGTCTTTTGGGGTATATTCTCAGTAGTGGAATTGCTGGGTCAAATGATATCTCTATTTGCAACTTTTTGAGAAAGCACTACACCGCTTTCCACAGTGGTTGCACCATTTTACACTCCCACCAATAGTGAATAAGGGTTCTAGTTTCTCCACAACCTCACCAGCATTTGTTGCTTGCTGTTCTGTTAAATTTTGCTATTCTGACTGGGGTGAGATGATATCTCATAATTGTTTTGCAATTTTGACTTTTTTAAGAACCCTATTGTCCTTTCCAAAAATAGAAAGTCAAATATATCACTATTCATTTGCCCTATCATAAGTGTTTGTCACTTGTGATCATTTTCTGGATCTAGGAATGATGCTCACCAACATGTTTAGCTGCCAAAGTTCAAATGGTAAAGAATTCTTGTCCCCATCACATGCTGAAACAGTTTTTTCTCTCTTTCTCCTTCTCTCCCCTCTCTTTCCCTCCCTCTCACTCCTCAGCTAACTCCCACCCCTCTCTCTCTCTGTCTCTCTCTCTCAGAAGCTTCTTCCTGCTCAGATTGAAACCTGTATTTTCAATTCTCTGCCTAATCATTATTTCTAAGTTTCTGACTTTCTGGCCCACTCCCCTTATTTCTGAAACTCCTCTTTTGTTTACACAAGTAATGCAACCATTCCAAGTATTGATTTCCTTGTCTGGACATCACGAAAAATGAGGTCTCCTCTCAGAACTGTTCTGAGGACTAAGTAATGAGTAATGCCCTTTGTAAAACGTAAATTGCCACTTGGCAATTGGCTCTTACAAGCTCCAGCGTTCACTCAGCAATAGCCATTTCAACCATTTGGAAACATTAAAAATCGACAACTTTCTTGGTTCTTGACATTCCCCAATATTACAAATACATTCTCAGTTTAAAAAAAAATGGTTACTTACAATTGCCATTCCTGAAATAATTAAGTATATTCCTTGAGGCATTTCTCCTTCTTTACATAAGACATCTCCGTAGTCAAAATATGCAAGTTTGGCTCGCTCCTGAAAGAAAAGGCAGAAACATAAAGTCACCATAAAAACTCTATTTTTCAAAGTGGAAACAAGATTTGAAAGCTTAAAATGGATTCTGAGTAATACAAAACCACAAAATTATATTTTTGTTAATGACAAACAAAACTTTATTTTTGTTAACTACAGTTTGCGACATACTCATCAACTTTTAGTAAGAAAGGGAGAAGAAAACAAATTGATGTTATTGTAAAGTTCTATTAAGTTACCTTTCAACTCAGGATGTCTCATGTGACAGAAAACAGTTCATCAATGTGTACAGGTTGTGATCTTTATGGCTAGAGCCTTTGGGGCTCAGTGGTTAAATGGTTGGCTGCTAACTGAAAGGTTGGCAGATCAAACAACAGCACTAGCTCTGTGGTAAAAATATGTGGCATTTTATGTCTTTTTTGCTGTTGTTCAAATGGTGAAATTTAGTTGGTTTTGTTGTTATATGCCATTGAGTCTCCTGCGACTCATAGTGACTCTGTACAATTGCTCTGAGCTCTGCTCTATCCTGTGCCAATCTTATTGTCTTTGACACACTTACTCCCATGACCCCAGTCATGAATCAGTCCGTCTCACTGAGGGTCTTCCTCTCTTGTTCTGTCCCTCAACCCTCCCAAGCATAACATCTCTCTCCAAGGGCAGGTCCATCCTTGCAACATGTCCAAAGTATGTCAGACAAAGCTTCAGAAACCTTGCCTCCAAGAAGCAGCCTGGTCTCACCCTTTCTAGGACAAACCTGTTTGTTCTCCTTGCAGTCCATGTTATATTCAATACTCTTCTCCAGCACCATAACTCAAAGGCATCAATTCTCCTTCTGTCATCCCTAGTCATTGTCTATCTTTCTGATGAATAGCAAGTAATTACAAAGACTATGGCCTGGATCAAGTGCACTTTAGTTTTCAGACTAACACTATTGCTCTTCAGTACTTTATAGAGGTCTCTGACACCACACTTTACCAATGCAATTAATCTTTTAATTTCCTTATTGCTAGTAGCAAGAGTGTTGATTGTGGAGGCAAGAAAACGAAAACTATTAACAGTCTCAATCTCTTCACTTTCTATCATGATACTGCCAATCAGCCCAATGGTGAGAATCTTTGTTTTCTTGATGTTGAGCTTCAATCCATATTGAAGGCTCCAGTCCTTGACCTTTTGCAGCAAGCACTTTAGGTCCTCCTCAGTGTCAGCAAGCAGGATTGTGTTATCTGCATAATGTAGGTAGTTGATGAGTCTACCCTTCAATCCTGCTGCCACATTTCTCCTCATAGCGACTAGCCTCCCGAATAATCTGTTCTGCATATAGATTGAAAAGGTGCAATATAGGACACGTCCCTGGAATACACCCTTCCCAATTTTGAACCATGCACTGTTTTCTTGCTCTGTTCTGATTACTGTCTCCTGATCCAAGTATAGGCTTCGCATAAACACAATCAAGTGTTCTGAGATTCCCATTCTTCACAGAGTCAGCCAGAGTTTGTTCTGATCCACACAGTCAAATGCCTTTGCAGTCAATGAAACACAGATAGATTAGATATTCCTCTGGTATTCCATGCTTTCAGCCAAAATCCATCATCTCACATTAGCTATAACATCTCTAGTACCATGACCTCTTCTAAACTCAGCCCGCATGTCAGGCAGTTCTCTGTTGATATGCTGTTCCAGTCATTTTTGGATAATCTTCAGCAGAATCTTGCTTGCACATAGTATCAATGATATTGTTCTATAATCTCCACACTCTGTTGGGTCACCTTTTTTTTGGAATGGGAACAAATATAGATATCTTCCAGTCAGTTGGCCAGGTGGTTGTTCCCCAGATTTCTTTGCACAACTTGGTAAGCACATTCAGGGCAGCATGTTTTTATTGAAATATGTCAATCAATATGCCATCAATTCAATTCCTGGGGCCTTGTTTTTGCCAGTTCTTTCAGGGCTGCTTGAACTTCTTCCTTCTTCTTCACAGGCACTTGCTCATACATTGTTTCATAAAGTTCTTCTGTGTCCTCAAATTCCTTTTGGTACAATGACTCTGTAGACTTTTTCAATCTTATTCTAATACTTCCTGGATCTCGTAATATTCTCCCCAAAGCATCCTTAAGTATCACAAACTCAAGGCTTGGATTTGTTCTTCAGTTCCCTCAGCTTAAGAAATGCTGAGAAATTTTGGCCCCTTTGATTTTCTGACTCTAGCTCTTTGCACATTTCATTGTAAAACTTTTCTTTGTCTTCCCATTCTGCCCTTTGGAATCTTCTGTTCAACTCCTTAATATCTTCATTTCTTCCCTTTGCTTTGGCTTTTTGACTCCATACTGCAACATTCAGAGTCTCTCTGACATTCATCTCTTTTCTTCCTCCTTTGCCTTTGCAATGATCTTCTGTGTTCTTCCTAATGATATTCTTCATATCTTCCCACAGCTCACCTGGTCTTTACTCATCAGTGTTCAAGGCCTCAAACCTGTTCCTGAGATGGTTTTGAAATTCAGGTTGGATAGACTCAAGGTCAAATTTTGGTTCCCCTGAATTTGATTTAATTTTCCTTAGCTTCAGCTTGAAGTTGCAGATGAGTAGTTGGTAGTCGTTCCACAACCAGCATCTGGCCTAGTTTTTACAGCTGTATTGAGCTTCTCCAGTGATTCTTTCCACATTTTTTATTTAGCATTTACTTAGAATTCAGAAAATCCAGATTGTATGAAAACAATTATGAAATAAATGTAAATTCTCCAAGTCTTTTTGTAAATCCCATTTAGGACTAAATTAACATAGAAGTCTCTGACTGATAGGAACACTACTATATTTCAAGGTGGACAGAACAAATGAGGGCTCTTAAGACATTATAAGATACATTGAAGAGGATAAAAAACTGTCAAAGCTTTAGCAAAGGAAAACGATAGAAACTTGGGGTTTAAACAGGAGAAGAAAGAAGATAACTTTATTGCTCATAAATTACCCAGGAAAGGTAAACACAGCTCCAAAAATAAACAGGCAAAACCATATTAATTGACAGACATGCTTGCTAACATTGGAAGGAGAGCGAGATAATGGCCTAATAGAGTGAAATTCCTGGAGATGCCTTGTCCCGAAGCACACCTTCCAGGGTACATTTATGATAATAATAATAATAATACAATCTTTTCTACAGCATTAAAACAATGCTAAAAATGTTAACATATATTTGTTTAAATGTTTCCATCTTTTAACATCTGGGATCTAGAGGGGAGAGAAAAGACCAGAGAATGGCCAAAATTATTGGGGCAGCTATTGC